AGGTAACTGCTTGTGTTTCTGGCAAGGTTTTGACATTACTAGGTAACTGCTTGTGTTTCTGGCAAGGTTTTGACATTACTAGGTAACTGCTTGTGTTTCTGGCAAGGTTTTGACATTACTAGGTAACAGACCTCGACGTTCATCTGTTTCATCTTGTTTCTGGCAAGGTTTTGACATTACTAGGTAATTGCTTGACAACATAATCTATGGATATATATTGATTATTCAATTTCTGTCTCTGCTCCAAGTCCTAGTTTAGTTAATAACGTCATTAACAGTTTAATGGCTGATTTGAAACTTCTCAGTAATAGTTCTGCAAGTCTCCAAATATATTTTCCTTTTCATAATTTTCTAGATTGTTTCATATTTTTACTGATGAACAATTAATTTTTTTTAATTTTTCTACATACTGTGCATCTCAATCTTTCCCATGTAATTAATTTTATCTCTTAAATCATGTAATAGCAATTTAAAAAATGTAAAAGAATATTTTTTTCTAACCAAACACCAAGTATTATAAGCAACTATTTTAACAAAATTAAAGTGGTCTGAAGCATATATTTTATGACTAACAAGTTTTATTAGATATAATGTACAAAGTAAACTTTAAAGCTGTTTTTACGAAATGAACAATCTCATATATCCCTGTAAATACTTTTACTATAAAACAAATTGAACTTAATAATAAAAACACACAAGTTTCAAGAAATTGCAAACGTTTTATTCACAGTTACACAACTACAACTCCTGAATAGCTTAAAATGTGGTTCTATCTACAATACAAACAATGTTTCATTTTCTCTTCACTTGTTTTCCTTCCCCCTTTTTCGGTCGTCCTTTACCTCTTAACCTTCTAAGTCTTCTCATTTCTTCTTTAAAATCTTGATGTTCATCTCTAGAACAAAAGTAAGTGTGTTCATTCCAAAAACAATTCCAGATAATGATAAGAAAAAACATTCTGAAGATATAACAAAAAAATTTATTTCTTCAAAGCACAATTGTAAGTGTAGTTGCAGAGATTTTAAACCTTTGCATATTTACGTGATATACATTTACTAATGAAAACATCAATCAATAAAAATAGAATAACCTTGAAGAAAAATAAGCAGTGGAAAAACCAATATAATGTATGCGAGTATATTAAACTTTGTACATGAACTTCAAACCAGACTTACGACAGTAAACTTTCTATTTCTTTAAACTTCAAAGATTTCTTAGTGGTAAAATCATATTTTGTGTCTTTTAAAGTAATACATAAATGTATAAAATTGTGCACACAATCTGTACATTATACAAAGTCAGCCAAAGAATTATTTTTCACTGTTTTGGTGTTTTCTGGTCAAAATTATATTTTTTACTAGCAAACCTGTGGACCAAATTTACAGGCCCGCTATAATACAGATTTAATGCTTGAACTACTATTTTGCACATTTTCAGTTTACTGATCATTGGTGCTATAATGTAAATATAATTTCTTTAACCAAGTTAACAACAGTAATTAGTAGATCTACTTATTTACGTGCTATAATGTAAATATAATTTCTTTAACCAAGTTAACAACAGTAATTAGTAGATCTACTTATTTACATGCTATAATGTAAATATAATTTCTTTAACCAAGTTAACAACAGTAATTAGTAGATCTACTTATTTACGCTGGCTAAGACATGACAGACAGCAGTGGTCAAGACAACTAGTTATATGATTTCACCCAGTATCAGGACTCGTCAGGCCGGCTAAGACATGACAAACAGCAGTGGTCAAGACAACTAGTTATATGATTTCACCCAATATCAGGACTCGTCAGACTGGCTAAGACATGACAGACAGCAGAGGTCAAGACAACTAGTTATATGATTTCACCCAATATCAGGACTTGTCAGTCTGGCTAAGACAACAGACAGCAGTCGTCGAGACAACTAGTTATATGATTTCACCCAATAACAGGACTCGTTAGGCTGGCTAGGACATGACAGACAGCAGTGGTCAAGACAACTAGTTATATGATTTCACCTGATATCAGGACTCGTCAGGCTGGCTAAGACATGACAGACAGCAGTGGTCAAGACAACTAGTTATATGATTTCACCTGATATCAGAACTCGTCAGGCTGGCTAAGACACGACAGACAGCAGTCGTTGAGACAACTAGTTATATGATTTCACCCAATAACAGGACTCGTTAGGCTGGCTAAGACATGACAGACAGCAGTCGTCGAGTCAACTAGTTATAAGATTTCACCCAATATCAGAACTCGTCAGGCTGGCTAGCACATGACAGACAGCAGTGGTCAAGACAACTAGTTATATGATTTCACCGAATATCAGGACTCGTTAGGCTGGCTAAGACATGACAGACAGCAGTGGTCAAGACAACTAGTTATAAGATTTCACCCAATAACAGGACTCGTTAGGCTGGCTAAGACATGACAGACAGCAGTGGTCAAGACAACTAGTTATAAGATTTCACCCAATAACAGGACTCGTTAGGCTGGCTAAGACATGACAGACAGCAGTGGTCAAG